GATGACATTTTAACGTCTCAATTTATAGTTGATATATCATATTCCATCCTTAGGTAGACTACACAGAAGACATTCTTGCTTTTTCATTTAACTATGGCCTCTTACCTTCACTCTTAGTTTATCATTTAGTTTTGTTACATTGTATTCAACCGTAAAGTTGACTTACCTTGGCCACCTTACATACATGTATTAAGGAGCACGAGTCGACTGGCGGACGACCTTGACACATCAAGTTGGTAAACTTCTCTGTTCCTAATTGGCTAATAAAGAATATGAATTAAATACACAATACAATAAAACATTGACTAGAATAGAAAAATGAAAATTATGAAAGGTACATTTTAAATATATCCAGTGTCAGTTTAGAATACTATCGTAAAATGAATTCAAAGAATATCCAATGCAATTTAGTTCCAGTAGGATACGCATCCGTTGCCAGGCTTTGTCGCACCTTCCTGCAATGCTTTATGAAGGGAGGTTTTCATGAATGCTGGGGATTTCAAATTGAATTTCAATTCATAGTAAGCATGCATTTTCTGCAACACCAAAATATATTATATTTTGATGTCTACATGATCTTGATGGAGTAAGGTTCATGACTCAAAAAAATGAGCAATCCCTATTCTCAATGATATTTAGGAAAAACAAGAAACTTAACAAGCAGGAAAATTTCAGATCTTTAGAAATTGAATTCTTCGTCCAAGAGAATAAAATAAAGAGTCCAAGAGAAAGAAACCGAAATTGGAAAATAAAAGAGGCTATGAAATACACGAAATGTTAATGTTAGATTATTTGTGTTAATATTAGTACTTGGCCACCACCACAAAGTATCTATGTAGGAAAGAAAGAAATGAGGGAAGAGTAAAATTCTTGTTTTTAACAGACTTTTTTAAAACTACTTTACAGCCGAAGATTCTCATAAACTAATGTATAGTAACCATTATGTAATATAACTAAATTTATCAAATCGATGAAATGAAATGAATGGAGTTTGAAGTCCTACTTTTATCATATCGATGACACTAAAAGAATATAATCCAAGGGGCACGCTTTGTAGGAATTATGCCGCCGTATCAGATATGCCATTACGGTTCTTTATCGCGATGACTTTCTATCCATAGAATAGCCATTACCATACCTCCTAACAGAAAATAAGTATTATTAGTAAAGCAAAATCAAAATCAATATATCAAGTCATGAAAGTTCCTAGTCTTCAACAATGTATATAGATTACGACTCTCTATCAATGAAAATAGAAAATTACCGTCCCCAAAAAAACACAAAATTTAAGATATTTTGGTGAAACACGGCTCCATCAGACACGTGTGTGATTGCGTATCAATAACGTTCTTTATTTGCATATCTATAGTAAGAATATCCAATTAACGAGCACCTGCTTACATTAAACATAGACATCATTAGTAATGAAACATCAACAACAATACATCTCATGGGCTCTTTTCCACTCTCCCAGGCTGTCAACACAAAAGTCAAACATAAGTAAAAATACACACTATCAGATATCTATATATAGACACACGTCAGTCAATATCTCCATATTGCAGTTGAATTAGAACCGTGCATGGTTTTAGGTGATTATACAAATCAGCTACTAAGGAGAGTCCTCCCGAGGCGTCGACTGCTGTATTGGATTAGCTACTGTACGTTGTTTGTTCCTGACGACAGTGAAGAAACGACAGGCTTGTTGTGTAGAGCTTAAGTGGTGTTTATGACGACCGAAGCAGGATCACAGAATGCTAATGGAAAGCTGATCCGGACTGACATGTATTGGAAGTGTGAAACATCCTGTTGATGTATGTTAGGTGTTAGTGGTACAAGGATTGAGCAGGTGCTCGTGAGTCAATAAATGTTATACAAGGTGATAGTCGTGGCTATTAATTAATGTTAGACAGGGCATAATCTGATAATTATTTTAGCTCTGGTGTAGCTTTCCCTTACATCCTTATGAACTCGAATCACTAACGACTCTAACGTTAGCCCTGACATGGCCATACGAAGTTTCGATAAATCCATATACAGATTTTAAGGGAAATATTTTGCTGACCAGCACACCTATCATTACTATTATGCCTAACACACATAGCCAGGAACACATTGTCTAACATTTATAGACCTAAATTCTAGTTATCTACCCAATCCTGGCACCAGGAAAACGGGAAACTCAACCTTTCCAATACATTTCAGTCCGGATCAGCTTTGATCCAGTATTATACGACCCAACCTCGGGAATCTGAGTAGATTTCCAAAGCGTGCTTTCCCAATTGGCCGCTCCGTTGGAAAACCATCTTCATCACGACCTAAGCTCGACATCAGAAGCAGATCCTCAATTCAGGATCAGGACCAGGGGCATAAGGTAATCCCGATCACCAGTTCCGAGCAGAACGCAAGACCCGTGCAGCTGACTCAACAATAATATCTACACGTATCAAACTTTTGTCTGGACATTGGTTGACATCCAGAACCAGTTACCAAGTACACCCTTCCATTTACTGCCGTTCAGGTAACCACTTGAACTTCAGCAATTAAATTTTAATATTAACCATCTTATAGAAGAAATTTCAAACCAAAGTCACATTTTCATAATAACAATAACAAAAGTGTCGAAGTGAAATCCGGTATCTATAATGCATATTTATGCATTAAAACCAGTACATACCAAAAAGGGACATAGAAGGAACGCCTTTTCATTTTAAAAACGAAGATTCCACATTCACGTATATATGAATATCTGAATTTATATAGTACTGTCATCTTACCAAACATATCGATTCTTCACCAAGTAACTGAATTTGGGGACATTGTGATTATCATTGAGCAACATAGTTTCAAGTCGACTGGGGTGTCCTCAGTCAATCAGAGCAGGGTGCAGTGAGGGAATTTTTGCCAGGACAGCGACATTAGCTTGCTCTTCTACACGACTGTGGGTTGTTTGAAAGAATTGTATTGTCCACGTCAAATACGACATCAATCTGTTCAGAAATTAGGTCCCAGAATACATTCGAGCAGAATATATGGGAAATATAAAGATAGCTTGCTGGAGCCGATGAAGGAGTGATTGACTTCAGACATCGATGTCGTGAAACTCAGCATGGGTTTCAGTGTGAGCTTAGAAGGGACTAGGCCTATACTGCAATAATCCACGTGTGTCATGCTGACTAATCAACCCCAGATCAGCTTGGAAGCAGCATCTTTAAGAACAAAACATGGCAGGGCAAGAGAGCCGTATCCGAGATAAAAGGGTTTGCATATCTTCCCGGACACTTTATTTGAAACAGAAAAAGAGACAGCGAAATAGCAATGATCAAGGTGGTGGGAAAACACAGGAAAGTACACAACATGTGTCAATAACATGCTGTGATTGAATTAATAATACTTGTGAGTTCTTTACTGACCAAGGAGATCAGCACATCTTAATCGGATAAAAAACAAACCGAAAACCATGTGATGTGATTGATCAAGGTCGACCAAGTTCAAGTATGGGTAAGCGGATTGTACTAAAATCAGGAATAGAGAAGAAGTCGTGATTGAGTTACCTCGAAGATGCGGTGATAGGATGATAGGAGCTAGCTCTTAAGATCAAATAGCTGTAACTTATATCCGATTACATTCATTCTCGAAGGTGTACTGCCCCTGTGTAATATCAAACCCACTTTTCAAATTATGCACCCTATTACATCAAGATAAGCGATTTGATGATGGTCATTATGTAAGTCAGAAACAGAAAATTTAGACTTAAGTTGCAAAACTTTATCGAATTTTGAACGATGATGACATTTGAATCCCTTTTAGTGCTAAAACAATTCAAGTTTCTGGTACCACGACCATTCCTTTGGGCTTTGTCTTAGGGGCAAAGTCGATAACAAAAATGTCGGTGGGTATTCAGGATCTGGTTTTGATGCTCATTGAAAATGTATTGCCTAAATTTGTACCCTTCTGAAATAATGATATATTACTGTAAAACAACAACACCATGTGCACAAAAATACTCGTCTGCTTTAGTACTCTAAGGGAAGTAACTGTGGTTTTATACCATACCTTTACTACCTTTAGTAATCTGAATCTTCTCTTTCATGTTTTGAGAAAGAAACAATTAGAAAATGTTCAGAAAATGTTCATTTATTTTATTTTAAAATATTTTATAAATCTCTGCTGATTTAAAACATTCATTCTACATGTATATTTTACGAATCCATAAATTTCATTTTTGCCAAACAAAACCCCTGATTAATTGCCTTAAGATTTTATGATTTTAAGTATACCTAGTTGGTAAAAACAATTTTGACTTTCAATACACTAATGATGAATGATACAAAATTTTGATGTTTTTTTTGACAATTCTTTCAAGAGCCTTAAAAAGAAATTTGGCATTGGAAACAGATAGACATGTATATGAATATATTTTTTGTTTGAGATTGTTTATAAATAAATATAAATATTATGATTAATATTATATTATACATATATAAATAACAAAATATAAACAATGTTAAAAAACTACATACAAAATATAAAAATATACTTTCAGATCATAGAACACACAAAATCAGACCTCTGGTGTCATAAGTTTATAAACATTGATGAAGCAATATGAAATTGTATAATGATTATGAAGAAAATAGTGATGACAACCTAGAGCTTATTACAACCTTATATTACCCTTGTACAAACTTTATCTTATATGTTTTGCCATGAAAGATGTTAAATTTCCTTCCAAGCAAAAATCATACCAGAAAATGATGATTGGAAATCTGAGTACGAATCAACAAATAAATATGACGGTCCTCTTTTTAGATAGTTTTATTGGTAATGAACTTATTCATTTATTCTCGTTGTAAATTATATCCAGCCTATTTAGAAAATTTTGATCATGAATATACATGGAGGATCTTACTCTGTACTTTAACACATTCTGATATTTATTCTTGTTCTTCTATTCAACAGGCATGTAAAATGATTAGAACACATATTAACATATTTCACTATAACACAACACATTTAGAATTCATCAGTAACTTTTTAGTCCTTTTTTTACTAGGTTTCAGTGTTATGGTATCGTTATTGTTTTTATGTTTCAAGTTTTTGTCTTTGGAACTATTTTTAGTATCATTTTGGACATCTGAAATGAAAAGATAGAAATATAATTAGTGATTGATTAAAGGGTAGGATGTTCTCAATGGCAAGACATGTTTAAATGCTTCACCATGGCTATATGTAACCAAAGAACAAGGTAGTGAAGAAGACATCAATTACAGAAGATCTTAAAGGGTTTCGAGAGAAGTTTTCTCACCCTTGTATGTATTCTTGGTTGTAAGGCAAGATAGTTTGAACAAACAGGAGTCATTAGAATGAAATTAGAATGGTAAAAATAAATTTGATAGGTTTGCCTGATACATATATACAATAGTTAGAATACCTCTTGAATTCCCTTTTATGACAATATCTTATGAGACTAATTTGAGATGATTTCAGAATTACTACTTAAAAGCATGCATGAATAGCACCAAACACATTTTTAGGATGGTTAGTACTGTTTATTTAGTACTGTTTATAACACTTGATTTTTATATTTTTGATTTATACAGGTAACACAGTAAGATACCAATATTCAGTATTTTGACAGGTAATATTCAGTGATATCAGGTGTTTCTTTAAGAGTAATTGTTCATACCTTGACCTATAGTTAATGGTAGAGAATCATCCTCACTAACCATACTTAATTCTTGTATATATTTCTCAGATAGATATCGAAATACTGAAATTCAATATATAAAGAATGCATATTAATACAAATAAATGTTTCATGAGGATCCAAATGTTGTCTTAAAATTTTAGACCTGTATTGCCAGTGAGTAAGGTGAAAGAAACTAAGAATAAGTTAAAGGAGGATTTCATACACTAAATTTATTATTTTTTCACCAAGTTCAATTGAAGCAAGTAAAGAAATAAGCATACCTTCATCCACATTGACATTTTCTTTGACTGATGTACGATAAAATCTTAACCTTAATTTTTTAGCCAAAGCTTCAGCTTCTTCACTGTGGATAGAAATTATATTTCAAACATAGATCACACAGAATGGATCTGCTCTTTAGTCAACATTTTGAAAACAGCTACATTAAAATAAATGAACTGCCTGCTACCATGCTATGCAGGGCATTGTCTTGCTTCTAGAATGCCTGATAACTCCCTTAAATTGAGTTTATCTGCTGATCATCCCTTTCATAATGCTGCACCAATTGTATGGTCATTAACCAAATTTTCAGTTTTTGAATCTATAAAAGAATCTGCATTATTTATAGCAGAAAACAGGTATAATTTTGAGATATCATTAGACATAGTGTCTAAAATATTCAAACTTACTCTTGTACAACTGCATCATCTATTAAATCTATTTTATTCTGTACAATTACCATATTTATCTCCCCTACTTCATTCTCAACCTAAAATACAATCAACTGGATTTTGAGTAGCCATATAAATAGTGTCATGTGCACAACCATGAAGTATGCAAGATTTTTCAATATTTTTAATGATATCCTATTATTATTTGACTAATAGCTTGACAACTTAGGCAGTGCCCTTTTGAAGCCCATAAAATTTTTATATCAGAATACATATTCTGTACAAAAATTAAAAGAATTTCATTTCATATCAGTTTAATTTTCAAATCATTTGTAGCTTTAATCCATAAATCTAACTAAGCCATCAAATTGAAATCATTTCACAATTTGTTAAACAATATTTCATATGGGTAGTTAACAACACAAAAAGTCCATTCATTTAAGTAATGGCTGACTTTTATCAAAGGAAGCAAGCCAAGATTATTTGAAGTGGAACATCATTATGGCCTCATAAAGTGGTGAAACCAGTTCACTCCCTTGAATAGTTGTGATTTAATGAAGCTCATAACTAATTTACATCTTTATTTGTTTATTTGACCTCTGACTTAAGTAAATCTCATCAACATTTCCAGTTGAATAAAAACAGACAGAGAGATCCATCAAGATTATTTTATATTCATAGAATATGGAAAACAACTATTTTAATATGTGTGAAAGTCAACAAATATCAATTCATTACATATCTTCATGTGTGAATTTTACAAAAAACATGAAGACATGCTTGGAGCGCAAAATCCAATTTTCAGATGTTCATTCTGTTACATCACCTGATTACATCATGAGGGCAAGATAGTATTAGCTTTGTTAAACTTAGAAATTTTCACAATAAGCAAGCTTGAAGATATCCAAGTACAATCACTAGGCAACCCTGTCACCGTCACCTGGAGTGAATTGGTGCTGGGACACAGATTTTATACACAGAAAATGTGAAGAATTAAAATCCAGAGAACTCACTTCTGAGGTGCTAAAAACGAATCAAATTTATATCTTTTTGATTTTCTACAAAGACACTGTAAATGAATCAATTTCTGTTGAACTGAAGAAGATTTTGCTGGTGTTTAATTCTCAATTTCCGGGTTGCCCAGCCCCCATGGATCCCACTCTAACAATGTGGTAATTCCTCAAAAAACTCAAGAGAGTAAATTACACCTTAAAGCCTTTTGCTCCAAGTTACCAGATAAAGGATAATAAATTATAAATAATTAGAAAGGTATAAATATCTACCTTTTTCTTCCAGGTTTCTATTGCTTCAAATGAATCTCTGTCTACTGTGGAGAATGCTAAAACACAACCTTGTGCACCTGAAAAATATCTCAGATATACAAACTGATTGACTAGTATATAAGTACAAATATTTAAAATCAGCAGCTAAGGCACATCATAAGAAATATATAAATGAGTTTACTGTGTTAAACTGGATAGCCCTAGATTTCTGACATATCTTACTGGGTACTTTAACTGGGTACTGTTGTGTCTAAAAAAAAACATATTCCTTTACAATTTCTGTCAGTTCAAAGGCTGACATTCCATGCATTAAACAGATATTTCTTTTAGCATCTTGTATGGTCATTCTCTGATAAATCATTATATGCTCAGGCTTCAACAAAACAACGCACACACACTGTGCACAGGCACATTTTGCCGTATAAAACATTTCTGCACAATATTTTCTTTTTTTTGCAATGATATTTCACTTCTTAATCTCCCAATCTCACATTAAAGTTAGGATATAAGACATCGTATACAAATACACTGATTTATGAGAGACTGTAACTAACAGGTTATTTAACATACGTATTTACATAACTACAATTATTCTGATTCTGAAAATATTGGCCACTGTCACACTTTTGATGTCTTCATGATATGGTCGACTTCGTTTGTTCAATTATATAAATAAGTGAGAAAAATAGTTCTTGTCGCTGAATCGTGGCCAGTAAAAATTTATACAATATCTACAAAAGCAACTTAGATGATCAAGAACTGAAGGGTAAGGTAAGAAGGGCGCGTATTACATGTTTCATTTCAATGGATGAGCCATCTTTTGATTTGTTAATTACTGACCAAATATCCCATTTTTATCAGAGACGAGTTGACTGAACACCAAAAATGTCACAGATGTCCCTTGTTTACTGGAAATTTCAATTTGCTATTGATCATAACATGAATCAAATTAAAACAAATACACAAAGAAAATCAGTAGATTTGAAAATAAATGTATGTATATTTTCATTAACCTTATCAAAATTAACAACTAAATTAGCTTAAATTTCAAGATAAAAATATGACTGTAAAGAAAATTTAATAATGACCTTTTAATGCCTATCGTTTTTGCTCTCTCTGATTTAGGTATTGCAGGCACCTTTCAATTTTGTAAAGTCCTATATATGCCTGATGAAAACTATCAGATTTTTGCATTTACCAAATAAGAAATCAACAATATGTTTAAATAAGCTTACTCTATGACAACAATATCAGTTATAATTCAATTTTAATGACAATTATTATGTTATAATCTAACAAGGAGCCAGTCATAACAATAAAACAGGTAATAAACGATAGAATAACTTACAGATAGATAATAAATATACTGTTATTGTTATCAACAGGGCCATAGAGTTCAGTTTAACATTGAATAGGTAAAAGAATACTGTATATGTTAAACCAGACATGAGTTGGAGTTAACTCATGGTATCCCTAGGAAAAACACTGATCATTTTTGTGTAATTAAGAGAAGTCAGTCCAATGGAGCACCTAGAGTACGATCTATCTAGATAATGACTATGTCATCAGTCATATTACATATCTACTCTTTGAATCATATTAGTCAACAGGAAGAGACAGTAGCAACCATCACCACATCTGTATACTTTTCATTTAAGTGCACAAAAGGGGTGAGGGGTCATTCCCCCAACCCTCCTCCCATACAAGAACAATAAAACTACCAAAATATTCTCTATTATTGTAAAGTGTTGACACTATAGTTAAATATAAAAATAGACTGTTATATTTAAGAAAGGTAATAAACATCAGAGTATATTAATTTTAAAGGATGTAATAAGGACTGTTATCAATGTAAAGGACATAATAAGTAGGTATATCAGGTAATTTAACTCTAGACCTAGTACTTCCTTTAATAACTGTTTATTGTCATATTGACTCTTTCATGTGACTATAAAGACTTTATTAAACATGTTTAATGGACAACCATTAAGTTTGTTACAGGTTTAACTCCTTGACTCTACCTATCTTTTACCAGTGAAACTTAATACGTTTTAGTATGCTGATTCTATATCTAGTCAATCTATTTAAAATTGGGCCAGATGTCTTTTGCACCAGCAATTCAAAGTCTTAAATAATTGGCATCAATGAAACTCAAATCTCTTCTGCGGACAGCTTTTGCATATTTTCAGATGTAACATTAAATCTGATATGTTTTATAGATCGTTTACAATTAACCATTACTAGCTAGTAAACCACATGACATCTTAAGACATCTATTTTGAAATATAATTGACCACACTGAAAGGAGATGCTCTGATTGATACCTGTGAACAGATCACAATAAAACTATGATGATCTACGCCTGATTTATCATGATATATAAGATACGATTATATTCTTCTGACACCTCTGATAGATGATTATCATAATATATAGAAATATAGATATCATATAGATATTTTAAATATTTTTCAGATCCTATTACTTCATATATATTTATGATTTACATGGTTCACTTATCTTGATATTGGTCACATTTAAACAATGTTTTGTTATTTTCAAGGTTTGATGAAAATTAATTTAGATCATGTATTTAAATAATATGTGATTTTATGTAAACCAATATCTTATTTAAAGGTTGAATTGATTAACAGATAATATAAACAATTTGTTTTTAAATTTAAATGTCATTTTTAAAAGATTCAAAAAGCTTCGCATACTATGAATTCTTAGTTATCAGTAGCATTTTTTCAGGTTGAAGTAACTGTCCTCCCCATTTAACTGATAAGAATTTCTCATAATACCTCTAATACCTAGCTTATTACAGATAAGCTGATCTAGACAATAAATAACTTCCCATTAGCTGTAGTACAAAATTATTTTATTTCAAATGTCACAGATACTAAGACAGTAAAAAAATTGTCTAAATAATTACATTGTTTAATTTCAAACCTGTTTTTTGTGACAGGAGAGTTAGTGAAGGAAGGTCTTTAATACCTCAATTAATTGTTCTCTAATCTTATTCAATAGGACCTTGACCTTTCTCACAATTCAATTTACCACGAAGGATATTTTCTACTGAATGACAATCCTGCATCATACAGCATCAGATAGGACCAACATAGGATTGTTGAATTGTATTGTGTAATGTGATTGAATGGCAAATCAAGCAATGTTTCCACAATGTCTGAGTGATCAAAATAGAATTATAAAGTTCTTATTACCATATTCTGTAGTATATATATTAATTGGCCAGATTTACCTAAGAGCAGTGGAAGAATATTCTTATTAGATGACTAGTCTAAGATTAAGATATTTTCTCCAACCAATTTACACATTCACAGATTATTGTCTAACTGGATTAGGCTAATCTATTGACCCTAATCCAATAATCTCTTTGTCAATTTGTCACATACTGATATAATCTACCAATTAAACAAGGTCATACTCTATATCTCTGAATATGGTGTATTCTTATGAATTCAAGTGGAGTTACAGTTTCAAGTTATCAGCAAAGAATTGAATATCACTGAATATGTACATACTGTAATAAATATATCTAATTTGGAGGATATTTGACTGATATTTTGCCTAAAAAAAAAATACAGATTGAGTGACACTGGTGCCATGGCTATATACAGTATATTATATAACATGCAGTGTACATTTGTGTGTGTGTCTTTTCAACTAAAATCATACTAATGACTAACTAATTTTCACATAATCAATAGACTTATCTATTGCTCTGTGACCTAGGCCAGTGCTTTCATTGAGACTCGTCTCAATACACCCTAACACTATTTAAAAGGTATCAATAACCTACTGTACAATCAAGGCATTTCTGAAAGATTCCAATGCACAAATCACCATTTTCAGGAGATGATTTGGGTTTTAACTATATGAAAATAGTCTTCAAAAGTACAAGAACAGTACCAAAATTGTCAAATATACATCACAGAAGAAACTCACAAGATTATCTTCTCTTTGAAAATTGGGGTATCCAAAAGTTGAATGTCTTGTTGACACTCAGATATCTCAGATTTCAAAAGGGAAAATCTAGTAAAAAGATGAGTCTCTTTCAAGACTGAACAATTCCCATATCTGAGACTAGGGTAACACTGACCCTCCAATATGGAAATATGTCCTTTAAGTCCAAAATAACTTTTAAGGACAGAATTTCAACAAAACAGAGAGTCAGAAGAACAGGTCAACCATACAAAAGACAGCCACAAAGCAAAAAGGTAACTTTAAAAAGTAGCTGTTCTGTAGTAGAATACTCAGAAATATATTCAGTACAATTTGACAAAAAGATTAAATATTTATCTTTTTGAGTCATAGTTTCTATTGACTAATATTACTGATATTATGTAACATGACAGAAGCCTGCAGTTTCTCAAAATAGTACAATTTTACACAATAATTCAACTTGAAATTCAACAAGGCAACACAAAAATCCAATATTTGCTTTTGGCCTGAACGGAAACTGTGAATTAGGTATAAGTTGGTTACCTTCAAATCTACCTAGTCAAGAACTTGTCATTTTAGTTTTTAAGGAGGGTGGCCATGTTCTAGATAAGATTATTTTAGTGTAAAGGATGTCATAAACATGGCTACAAGAAAACAGCTTTAAAGTCAATAAGCATTCTTGAAGCATGCACCATGATTTTATTGTCCAAATTTGGTTGTGGCTTAGAATTACCACAAATGAAATAAGTAACTATAACAATGTAAGAATGAAGACCAAAATCACAATGGACATACTGGTCATATATGTAGACCAACTTTGATCCCATTTAGTTATATAGCAAAATCAGAATACACTATCATGATCTTTCAAGAAAATTTCAAACAAGTGGAATTAAGACTTTGAAGTGCCAGTTAAAATCTGAACCAGCAAACAAGTAAAGCTGTATAAAGACTTCACGCACACATTAAAGCACAGCAATTCTCAAGCCTATCCACAAAGTAAGCGGCTGAAATATCACATATAGTGCAACAGATCATACCTGAATGTTATTTTTTCTGGCTGTTGTTCAGAAAATGTGGAAAACAGAATAGTTAAAATCTAGCTTAAGGTCATTAAATAGTAACTGGTTACATCTAACAATAAGACCTCTGTACATAGCTGAGGTACCAATACCATCAATAATGGAGTGAAGTAATACATATAAGTAAGAATTGAAATATTAGTTTTCAGCATTCTTGAAATTTAGCTTGCTACATGGGATGATGTCTTTAACATATATACATTGTCACTGTTTAAAGAAGACAAGTCATTAAGTCAATAGTGTTTGTGTTTCGATCAACATGAACTAAGTATAGACAGAATACTAAAACATGTGGTCAAATACTCTGGACATCATGTCCAGCATTATAACATACCCCAGTCAGATGTGAGAAATAGATCAAATAACATATATACCTTCTGAACTAATAATTAAGTCTAAATCTTATTCAAAGCTTATTTTAAACAAGAATTAACTGTGTCAATAATAATTTGTATTTTAACTGTAATATTTAAAATGCACCAAGACTCTCTAAAGTAAAGTTTCAAAATATGACAGCTACAATTCCACTAACCTTTATACTTATAACTGACTTCTTGAAAAATGTTAACATTTTCATTTTTTTGAGAGTTACAAGAAATCTTTTGTATTAGAACAAATATTGACAAATTATGTATTTGTCATTTTACTTTTCAATTTTTTCTTTTCAAATTATTTTAAATAGAAAAGAATTCAACAAAGAACTGTAACAATATATATACAATACATGTATAAAAGTCGAGAGGCATGTAATTCAAATTCGAAGATGAAATGAAAAATTTTAACTTAACAAACACATTTGAAAAAATTTGTGAATGATACACGGGCTTGGCATTAAAACTAACTTATTAGATTAAAATACCACTACTGTTTTTTCACTTCATATAGCCTCTATAGTTCTTCTCTGCAGTTATCAAGAGGTAGGTCTTGAGTTCCATTGCAACATGGGTAGAGATAATAAGTTCAGATATTTTAACTCCCTATAAGTGATACAGGTCGGAGGGGCTGACATTAAAGAAGGATCTAGTTGTTCAGATTGGGAAATGAACCAGGGCCCTGTGTGCCAACAGCTGTAATTAAGTAGAAAGTTTAAGTGGGGTTCTTGTTAAATCATGCAGAAATTGATGAATCTATGACATGATGACCAAAGAAACCTACCTCTATAATAAGCCTTGGTGATGGCATCAAATTCTTCTTGACCAGCAGTATCCCATAACATTAATCTTATATCTTCATTATTCACTCTAAAATATACATCAATATCAACCAAACATGTTACCAAAAACTTAAAGATGTGTTTTTTTTAAATTCTATGCCATTCTTTTATTCTGGCTATAAAGATCTGTCATTGTGCCCAGTTTGCTCATAGCTTGAGTATAGTTTCACAATTGAAATTCATTAGATTAGGGCCTCTGGAAGATTTTTCAAAAAACTGAATATTGAAAGTAAACATTGTCAAGCACTCACATAGGATTTGTACAAAACCCATGAAATCAGTTTGAGATTAGCCACATTCTGGTACCTCTGTCAAGTTGGAATTTTAAAGAAAAATTTACAGAAAATCCAACTTACTCAATCTGTCGCTCTAAAAAATCCACACCAATTGTCTTTTTATAATCCTTAGTGAATATTCCTTTACAATATCTTTGGATCATACTAGATTTCCCCACTGCCCCGTTGCCCACAACAACCACCTTGATGGCTACCTCCATATCTTCTTCTCTCATTATTCACAGAATATTCAAATATTCAGTTACTATGATGATGAATAATTTTCCTAATCAACATATTACATGATGGCTTTGTACTTGAAATCTTATAAAAAATAATTACACTTAATGATCTGTCCTGAAGCCTTCTGGTTTCTGAAATAGTAAATGATGTTTTGAAACTCACTTAAAAACTGATCAATGTCTTTGAATGTCTGATGAAAATTTTAACTGTAAATTATAATAATTTATAAAGATAAATGGATGTGTAAAGCTGGAAATAGAAGAGTTTGATCTCATCTTCCCCAATTAGAATATGTCTAAGGCTAGAAATAGTGTAATAATTACACATTTGACAGAGATGTTCCAACAATTCATATCCAGCTTTCAATGATATCATAAGATCATATAATTGCCAGATTCTGACGAAATTTAAAAAAATTCTCATTTAACTTTGAAAAGCTAAACACATTTCCTTCAATGTACAAATAGGAATATCATTATAATCATCTTGGCCATGTAAATTAAGTGCCCAGGTTTAACAAAAGCATTATATTATACATAGCAATGAGTTAATATTTAAATATCCATCCTAATTACACACACATGCACTGACACATGGATGACTTATTGAGAAGAGGGCCATTCCTTGAATGAATCTTATTTGATATGACTAGATTTTATCTTATCACAACATTTCCAAGGAAAATCAAATATAAATCATCCAATCAATAGATGATGTCATGTTAGGTTAAAATCACCAAGAAATGCATGTGAGTATAAGACAAATTCATAAACAATTTGACATCTGATCTAAATTGAACCATATGAACTGTCAGATGTGACATCTATGGTACATTCTACATGCAAATAGTTTCACCTTATAAGCAGACCATAATCGTATATAGGTTGACACTATTTTCTCCACAATGCCCATATTTTATTGATATTGACAAAACTTGAAGGGCCTGTGACCATAATAATCAGTGTGTAATAAGCAAAAACTAAGATGGTAATTATGCCATTTTAACCTACCTTCCTATATCATACTATCAATGACAATATCAAAAATAACCTTGTGATTGTATCCTATGGTCTGAAGATAAAGGTTCATACATCACAATGTGAGATTTAATATAATCTTATAACCTTGTGATTGTATCCTATGGTCTGAAGATAAAGGTTCATACATCACAATGTGAGATTTAATATAATCTTATGTTATTATCCCATGGTGATGTATCTAACTGTTCACCTTAACAACTCATCAAACATCTAGAGACCTGTTGTTCACAATAACAAGTTCTTCATACATAGCCGAGTACTTGTATGAAAGGGAGAGACTTCTTCATGACAGCCATTTGAGAAACCTTCAGTGTGGGGGAAATTTTATTCTATTAGAAAATGATTATTTCAAAGCAATATCAGAAATCAGAAATGAAATATTTCTTCCTTGATGAGCCATCATTTTGCAAAAGATAAATCAAGCAATTGGCTTAATTCTCTGATCCCAACATCTTGTTATCACATCTAAACCATAAATCATTTTGAAGGTACCTCATGTAAAGATTCGAACATAGTTTCATTGTGATGCCTTCCCTAGAATATTGGTTTCAAACTGTAATTTTTTTAATTATACCAGTTACATACCTTTAGGTACCTATTAACAACAGGTCTCCAGATAAATCAGTTAACAAACTGGTATTTTTTATATCAACAATAAGATATCTGTTCAGTAATCCTTAATGTCTCTTAACTTCATTATATATAGAATAAATTACAACCTACTGACTTGTTTCAACTCATCTATTAACATCCAACTAGTTTTACATCCAACTATTTTGCACCTTTCAAATAAGGTAACTATCTTGTTTTGTACAAAAATTGTAGCCTACCTATGTTGATTTATATTAACCTTACTGTATAACAGATTTATGTCCTTACACCCTTTGAAGCAGAATTCTTTATAAGCTTTGGTGGTAGATGACAAGTTAACGTTCGCTTCCAGCGGATGCTGATATCGCAAACTAGTATAAGCTTTGAAGGTAGTTGTCATATTAAGCTTATCTGTATTCATCTAAACAAATAGATTATTCTATAATCCCAAAACCATAGCTTATTAGGATCCTAAACAAACTACACGATTAAAAGATTATCATTTTAAGGTGAGATCATAAGACATTGTAGACAAAAATTTAAACTACCATGAGTTTAAAACAAGAATTTAGTACAAAAAGGGTGTAATCTTATTAACTCACTTTTAACATAGTGATGCACCACAGGGGTCACCCAGGTCAGGTCAATAATAACAAAAGACAATAGAGGGTAGGGCAATATGACATAAGATCAATCTGAAATTAGATATCTGTATAATCTACTTATCATACAATAAGTCACATTTAATATGAATTAACACCTAAAGATTTGTTGCCATCTGACAAACTTTTGATATATATCTTAATAAAGAGCGAAAGTTAAGATGTACTATATCTGTTGTGAAATCTCTGTGGTACTGTACTATCCAAAAGGGCTTTACGATTTATAATTAGGAATTAATAAACCTAGAAATTAAGTTATTCAACCTGTATAATACATTTCTTTCAGTGATTTTATGGGAAGCACATTGTTTTGCGACAATATATTGATAGTTTGACATGGTCTACTGGGTTATCTTTTCAATCAAAAATAGGCCTAATGGTTAATTACAAATCAAATCTTGTTAATTAGAATCTGCTAATTTTTTCAAATAAATTAAAATTTCATCTTTTTTATAAGATTAAGTTTTGTTTTGGGTACGGTACCCCGCATTTCATATTAGTGCAATTTTTCCCAGCCATCAGCTTACTGACTTCGCCAATTTTCAAGCCTGCGGCTATACATTACCTTGGCAAGGTATTCAGGGTTGATTCAAAAAATCCATAGCCTACCATGTGGCCTAAATTTCTCGAGATGCCAAAATTTACTTTTTGAATACAATTATTTACCTTTCCACAAATTCTCACCTTTCATAGAAGTTTCCGACATGATAATGATAACTTTGGTAGACGTGTCTGAGTTTCATAAATTGATATTAGTCTATAACTCACCCTTAAGTAGGCTTTAATCATGCACGTTTCAGTGTCAAATGCTATCAACATTCACAAAATCATTCAAACTCTCCAAGAAATTGACAAAACAACTTTATGTCAAACTTTAGCATTTTTATCAGTCGACACTTATTACTTTGCCTGTAGCTTTACTTCAGTAGTCGCCAATTTGATTAGCCAAAGGCTACACTAAATTTACAAAATGATTGTAATTATTGCATTTAAAACCAAAAACGAAATCAACGTTTGAAAATTAATTCTATTAAGTTTGGCATTATCGAACTTTTCCTCAAATTGAAAGTCTCCATTTATTTTTTTTATTTTCGACATCACGAGATATGATATAAATCTTTTACTAAAAAAAAAAAACCCAGATATTTTGGCCAATTTATATATAAAATTTGAAATTCATTTTTATATGAATAAGTATAAGTGCAGGTGAAGGTAAATAAAACCTCTGCTATCTTTAGACTGAAAGTCAGGAGCAGTTTGGTCAAACGTGCTTGGTGACAATTGCGGAGTGCATGATCATGTAAAAAGTAATAGGGCATGAAGAACTATATATAGACACAGCTGTATGGAACAACAATCACTGGTTAAAGTTTTATGCAACGTTTCGACGTGTTTACCACGTCGTCCTCAGGCACATAATGAGAAGAAGTGATGGGCAAACTATATATACATTAATGCTTATTATTAAGAACACACAAGAGATAAATGGTTTATTGATACATTACATTAAATTTTAGGTACAATAAGAGGTACATAATTCTATATATAAATAATAACATACAGGCTGATTAAGTAATATAATTGAAATAAAGTAAATGAATTAAAAAAGATTAATTGAAGATTAAATAATCAACTATTGCTAGTATTGGAGTCTTTTATTAATAGAAATTACATTGTTTCAAATAACTTACTATGCTTAAAGTTGAATTTTTTTTATTAAATACATTTATGAATATGAATAATTACAAGTTGATAATTTTATCATATGCATGCGATAAACGAACACCTTCATCTCTGATAAGGTCAGGCTAATATCTTCTGATGTTGATAGCTTCATGAAGTCTCCTGGTTTTATCTATGTGCTTATTGATTGTCAGTATGTTGGTGTTGTCAAAGTTGACTTTATGTCCTGTTTTCCTTCCCATAGCAAGATGTTCAGCCACAGCAGATGTTCCTTCATTGCCGGGCTTGTCTTGATGGTCTTTGAGTCGAACATCAAGGGGTCTCTTTGTTTCCCCTATATAAGAACTTCCACAGGAGCACTCAACTTAGTAGACACATCCCTTAGGTTTTTGGTTGTTGGGGGGATTCAATTTACCATTGGCTCTGAGCAAATCTTTAAGCGTTGAGTTGCCAGACTGACTTTTTCAGGATATTCTTGATTTGGTATGATGCCTTTCCGATGAATGGGATAGCTAAGCGGGTTGATGGTCTGTTGGGATTAGGCTGGTGGTTGCCATTAATACTGATCGAAAAGCTTGATGTACAAGGGCTGGGGGGTAAAATACTTTCTTAATGTGTTGTGATTCTTGTTGAAAGTATTCTGGGTCACAAATCCTTTTCGCTCTTCTGACCAGTGCTGTGATGGCTGCCCTTTTGACATGTTGAGGGGTGTTGGAATGGTATGAAGAACTGTGCATCTGTCGGGGACCCCCACTTTCACTGGTACTGATTGAAAGACATATACGTTATACGCAAGGGTCCGAATGTCAAATTAAAAAAAATAAACTGTGATTGGCTGGCTGTCGGTCGAATACTGCGTTCAGAGGCCAATTTGGTATGCCAACAACTAATATAACTGTTCAAACATTTTTAAAGTATGAAATATCGGCTCAAATTTCACAGAGATAAGTGGTTTTATATCAAGTGTAAAATTATTACAAAAAACTAAATTTTCGTATCAATGTAAAACCATGCAGTAGCTACTATTCCAGTTCACATAACAGTATTTAACATTCAATCTACCAACAAAAGGGAGGACCACACCATCAAGTTCTAATTAGGACTTAATTTCTACTCAGTCGTGTAAGACTACTTTGAACCTCAACTAAAACCATTATTTTCATAGTTTAGGTGTGAGCAGAATTTAAGGGTTAAGACACTAAGGTTACTGCGTGAGTCAACTCGAAGTCACTTTTCAAGCGGAGGTCCTAGGCTAAAGAACCTCTTGATGCTTGTATTGGACGAGACTTAGACTTATAGTCGATAATTAAAAGCGATATTTCTGGATCTATGTCGGCTTTAAACCCGTCCTTAAATGTAAACCCATTTCTTATTTTACATTTTGGTGGTCAAGGAATGCAATGATTCAAGTTTCAAGTAGCTTCAACTGTCGCCATGTTGGATTCAAAAGTCTTGGTCAGATATATACCAGTTCTTGTACATTTTTGGGGAAGGAATCTTCCAATGAGTGATTACAACTTTCGCCATATTAAATTTCAAGATGGCTGCCAAATAAAATATAGGTGATTAACCTAAGCTTCCATGTCACTGTCGTGTCAGGTGATGTTTTGATGGGGAATGAAATTTATTCAATAAAATCTGTAGTTTTTGTCTGGCGTCACCTTCCTTAATTTATCAGTTGCAAAAACTATAGATTTGTGCTAGTGTATATATCGATTGGTACCAAGTTAAATTTTATCGTTTTGAGTCATAATATCGTAATTTTCAAAATAATTCTTTACTTTGTACACTGCCTGTCCTACCTGTCAACAAATTGAACACTGGACAAGAAATTTTGATTATTTTGTATCTAACCGATTACAAGGTGGCAAACCTTTTCCAACAGACAAACTTACCTACGATAATATAGAACTGTAGGTATGTTAGTATGAAAAGTTCTATTGATATTTGAGGGAATTTTATAAGACTACATGTAATGAATCTAGAATACCGGTGCCGAAGTTTTATTCTTTAAGGGGATTTTTCAGTTTTCAAAGTCCTATATTTTCGATTATTGCCGAAATCATCCGCTGTGAAATTGGTTGCTACGTTGACCCGGTGTCGACACACGTTGAAATTTCACAAAATTTCAGGTTATTTACAATATAGAATCATAAGAGTTAAGAGTATAGTTCTATGTTTACACAAATCAGTGTCTCGATCTGAATTGATGAAAATGGCTCAATCTACTGTGTCAGAAGGAGAAGCAATTATTATTAATGGTGCTCTTCTCGAAGGGGTTAGTGTGGATTTTTCTAAATGTAAAAAAATTCTTATTTGACACACAACTTAGCTAGTTGCCAAGTAGACTAATTTATTGAACAGGTTTCTATAGTCAACTGAAGAATTCTCATTTAGCTAGATGGCTTAGGCTATTGTGGAAGGGCAGGTTTTGCTAGCCGGTTAGCTTGTGGTAACGACTAAGTTTTTCTAAACACAGTATCTGGTTCTATCAGCTGGTAGTCCTAAGATATATCTCCCTTGTTCTATTAGCTGGTACCAGTAGTTTTAAACTGTTACCCAGGACAGGTTTTCCATACATATGAACATGGTAATTTTTTTTGCCCCTGCAATCCCCCCTGATTATTGTCTATGGAAGTTGAAAAGTTTCGTGAATTTTTTCGATATTTTTCAAGATAGTTGGAATATCAGCATTAGTACTGATATTCTTAGAATGTCGTTGCGTTGATAAAAATATAATCTTTTGTAAGTTTACATCAAAAAGAAACACATTTCTCTCTTAAAAATTTCAACCCCAAAAAGTCACAAATTTGGGCTGAAGATTGTTCTCTAAAAACAAATTTTGAAGACATAATGTGTGCTCATGCTTATATTTTTATCAACTTGAAATTTGAGGCTGATATTCCAATTCTCATAAAAATAATGGGAAAAATACTTTTTACTTTGCTCAGACAATAGCTGGTACTACTAGTAGTAGTGGTTTAACTTGTTTTCCTTCACTCAGAAACCTGGTTCTTCTAAACACAGATGTCGGCTTGTGGTGAAAGTTTTTCCTCATTTTTTCTACAGGGTGGTCAAATATTACGAAATAGTGCAGCATTAAGTTGTTTATTAAAAAAACCTATAACTATTAACAATATCCGAGCTGGTAGAAGCAATCCTGGATTAAGGTAAATTCTTGTGTCTTTACTTCAGGTCATGTGGAAGTTTATTCTCTAAGGCACCGGCTGTGGCATTAAATATTTTACCTTCTGTTTCAAATCATTCAACAGTTTTTAATTCCAAGGCTCCTCCTCAAAACAGTTGCTGTAAATTGAATATTAAGAGCTACATTTGGGCCTAATGTATCAATAGACAATTGATTCAAAATGGATGCCATATAATAAAATTGTATCCATATAATAAAATTGTATCCATATAATAAAATTGTATCCATATAATAAAATTGTATCGATTGTACAAAAATTTGCTGTCATCTTTTTTATAAAGCAGGCTATGTTTGATGTATTGTGTCATATTTATTTATATTTTTTGATTTTGCAGACCTCAACATTTGAAAGGTTTAGAATTAATAAGTGAAATATGTCATGGTAAAATAGTGGGTGCTAGGGTTCAGTCTACAGAGATATCACTCTATCCTCAAAATATTAAAGGTGGTAACTATATAGCTGATACTAAAACAGCAGGGTGAGCACCATTATCCTCTTGTGTGTTTTAGTGTCCTCTCTATTTCTGTACTGGAATTTTTCTTTTGTATTGATTGGTTAATCCATGTTCAAAATCTAGTCCAGAATAAGGATCTCGGACCCTGATTCTCAGAATTTCGTAATACAACACTTGTACGTTAAGTGAAAAAAGCACTTTCAATCATTTATAACATTTACGTTCATACGTTAATTTACAATATTTTGAGAAACAGTGCTCCTGTCTCTTAGTTCTCTTATTATTGTTTAGTACCAATTCTTGATACAGACTGGTCAATAGTTCTGGAGAATATCGGCCAGGTGGGGATTGTGACTTGACGATTTATATTATTATATTGTATAGAATATCTGAAAATGTAAGTTTTAATGCAAAAAATTTGTTTTTCTTGAAAAGCGTTCTTCAACAGAGTACATTAAAACAATGTCTTAGAGTAAATTTAATCAGAATGGTTTATTTTAATGTTTCTTTTAGGAGTATATGTTTATTGTTACAAGCAGCTTTACCATGTTTATTATATAGTGATGTAGAATGTTGTTTAACATTACGTGGTGGTACCAATGCTGATATGGCTCCACCTGTAGACTACTTCTATTTGGTATGTTCAATTTTTCTGAAATGAATTAATTAACAGGCCAGAAATTTACATATATGTAAAAAGATTCAATTTATTCAACAAAGAATTATTTTAAAAAATAAAATTTATTGCAAAAATTTATGAAATTTGATTTTTTCATTAAAAGGGATATTTTTCATTTTTCTTTCTTGTTTAGGTTATATTTGTTTTTGTGATTTCTGCATTTATTACTGTCATGCTTGTAACGTTAATACGGTGAATGAATTTGTTAAATAGATTCACTCAATTATAATTAAAGGGAAGTAATTCTTATTTGGCTATTCTATACTAGACCTATTTACATTCTGTAGGTGTTTGGGCCAATGACAGCTCGACTTGGTGTAAATATTGAATGTGAACTGCGGAAAAGGTTTGTGGTTTATTGGGGAAATATTTTGTATGCTTTGGAGTTACAAATTAGATAATATAGTTTTTATAGTTAAATGATGTACTAAAATTTATTAGATTTATATTGTGTTATGTTTTGAGAAATGTATGATTATGAAATGGTATTCTTTCCGACACATAGATCACTTATAGTTAACACTTTTACAGAGGATTTTATCCAAAAGGTGGTGGAGAGGTAAGAGTCAAAGTTCAACCTGTAAAGCTGTTAAAATCAGTAAAACTATTAGAGAGAGGTGAAATTAAAGAAATTAAGATTTATTCTTATGTTGCTGGTGTTTTACCTGTTAAGGTAACTGTTAAATATTTAAATAATTGCACAAAGTATGCTGTCATCCCAGTAAAATGCCAAAATAGAGAATGTTCCTTATTTACAATAGATAATATTGTATTAACATTTTTTTCATGTTGCTATTATTAATGTGATGTCATTGCTGATTATGAGAGTGTTAATAACAGTCTGAAAATATTAATAGAATAACACCCATTTTCTGCTCTGATTTTTTAATGGATTGAAAAAAAATAATCCTGACAATTATAGCAAAAGCTAAGATGTTAAAACAGGTATTTAGATGTTTATTGCTCATAGCTATTTTACCTTTCATTCTACAGGTAGCCCATATCATGAGTGAATCAGCTGAGAAGTTGATTAAAAAGTTTCATCCTAATGCCAGTATAGTACCAGAAATTATCAAGGTTCCTGATAGAGAAGCAGTTGGTACAGGCTGTGGTATAATGTGAGTTACAATTGTTCATTTTTCATGCAGATATAAAAAATTTTAAGTATTTTTGAAATATTTATGTATTTTTTTACAAATTCAAGTTACTAACTTGAAAATGTAACATTACTAACTTGAAAATGTAACATTACTAACTTGAAAATTCAAGTTACTAACTTGAAAATGTAACATTACTAACTTGAAAATTCCAACAAAAAAAATGAATGGCCCTAATAGATTCCATAGATAGGGATGTATATGAGAGTTATTTCTATTTGGTAGGGTTGTATGTGAGAAGTATTTATATTTGATAGGGTTGTATGTGAGAGCTATTTATATTTGATAGGGTTGTATGTGAGAGCTATTTATATTTGATAGGGTTGTATGTGAGAGCTATTTATATTTGATTGGGTTGTATGTGAGAGCTATTTCTATTTGATAGGTTTGTATGTGATATTTATTTCTATTTGATAAGTTTGTATGTGAGAGGTATTTATATTTGGTAGGGTTGTATGTGAAAGCTATTTCTATTTGATAGGGTTGTATGTGAGAGGTATTTATATTTGATAGGTTTGTATGTGATATTTATTTTTCTTTGATAAGGTTGTATGTGATATTTATTTCTCTTTGATAGGTTTGTATGTGATATTTATTTCTCTTTGATAAGGTTGTATGTGATATTTATTTCTCTTTGGTACGTTTGTATGTGATATTTATTTCTCTTTGATAAGGTTATATGTGATATTTATTTCTCTTTGATAAGGTTGTATGTGATATTTATTTCTCTTTGATACGTTTGTATGTGATATTTATTTCTCTTCGATAAGGTTGTATGTGATATTTATTTCTCTTTGATAAGGTTGTATATGATATTTATTTCTCTTTGATAGGTTTGTATGTGATATTTATTTCTCTTTGATAAGGTTGTATGTGATATTTATTTCTCTTTGATAGGTTTGTATGTGATATTTATTTCTCTTTGATAAGGTTGTATGTGATATTTATTTCTCTTTGATAAGGTTGTATGTTATATTTATTTCTCTTTGATGGGGTTGTATGGGAGATCTTTTTATACGCCCACATGAAATGGTAGGGAGAATATTGTCGTGACTCACTCCGTCCGTCCACAATTGCTTATAAAGAATCTACAAGGCACATTTCTTGATTGATTTCCACGAAACTTGATATGGTTGTTTGTAATCACCCAAGGATGAAGCCTATTGAAAATCAGAAAAATATTTAGTATGAGTTATTGCCTTTGTTCTTAAAACGCTCGTAAACACTCTAGAAGGCACAATTCTGGACAGATTTTGATGAATGTTTGGTGTGAGTGTTTATAATCACCCGAGAATGATCCCTATTCAAAAACAGAAAAATTTTAAAATATTTAGTATGAGTTATTGCCCTTGTTCTTAAAACGCTCGTAAACACTCTAGAAGGCGAAATTCTGGACAGATTTTGATGAATGTTTGGTGTGAGTGTTTATAATCACCCGAGAATGATCCCTATTCAAAAACAGAAAAATTTTAAAATATTTAGTATGAGTTATTGCCCTTGTTCTTAAAACGCTCGTAAACACTCTAGAAGGCGCAATTCTGGACAGATTTTGATGAATGTTTGGTGTGAGTGTTTATAATCAACCGAGAATGATCCCTATTCAAAAACAGAAAAATTGAAAAATATTTCGTATGAGTTATAGCCCTTGTTCTTAAAACGCTCGTAAAAACTCTAGAAGGCGCAATTCTGGACAGATTTTGATGAATGTTTGGTGTGAGTGTTTATAATCAACCGAGAATGATCCCTATTCAAAAACAGAAAAATTTAAAAATATTTAGTATGAGTTATTGCCCTTGTTCTTAAAACGCTTGTAAACACTCTAGAAGGCGAAATTCTGGACGGATTTTGATGAATGTTTGGTGTGAGTGTTTGTTATCACCCAAGAATGAACCCTATTCAAAATCAGAAAAATTGAAAAATATTTCGTATGAGTTATAGCCCTTGTTCTTAAAACGCTCGTAAAAACACTAGAAGGCGCAATTCTGGACAGATTTTGATGAATGTTTGGTGTGAGTGTTTATAATCAACCGAGAATGATCCCTATTCAAAAACAGAAAAATTTAAAAATATTTAGTATGAGTTATTGCCCTTGTTCTTAAAACGCTTGTAAACACTCTAGAAGGCGAAATTCTGGACGGATTTTGATGAATGTTTGGTGTGAGTGTTTGTTATCACCCAAGAATGAACCCTATTCAAAATCAGAAAAATTGAAAAATATTTAGTATGAGTTATAGCTCTTGTTCTTGAAAATGCATTCAATTTTTAGCCCCCAAGCTCCAGAAGGAACAATTCTTGATGGATTTAGATGAAACTTTGTATGAAAATGAGAATAATCGAAAACGAAAAATAATTATCTAGAAGGTTCAATTATTGACAGATTTTGACAAAACTTGGTTTGAGTGTTTGTTGTCACCTAAGGATGAATCCTATTGAAAATCAGAAAATTATTTGGTATGAGTTATTGCCCTTGTTCTTGAAAATGCGTTCAATTTGTAGCGTGTCAACACTCTAGAAGGCATAATGCTTGATTGATTGGCAAAAATTTCCCTCATTGCACCCTGCATTGTGTTGCCCGTCTTCATTACCTCAAATGGTGAAGAAAAGTAGGACATAGAACTCGATTCATTTCATTTCTAATTGATAGGGTTGTGTGTGAAATGACTACTGGATGTCTATTGGCTGGATCAGGTCTTGGTAAAAAAGGTGTTCCAGCAGAAACAGTAGGAGAAACAGCAGCTCAGATGTTATTAGATAATTTACAACATGGTGGCTGTGTAGATGAATACCTACAAGATCAGGTACGTTATCCAATCAATAATATTAACTGTTTAGATCTTTGTGAATGGTTTTGACTATAGAAAAAATGTATAATATAATGGTCGAACTGCACTTAAATGTCTATAGGTTTTCAATATATGAGGGCCTTGGTGTGGTAGCACACGACTGGTATCACTACGCCAAGCCTCTGTGGGATTTCTCCTCGAATGTGATGTTTACAAACATAAGATGACATCAAAGGGAGTTCCCTACAGCCTACACTGGTCAACTTGAATATGTTACTTGATTTGTTGTCAAAAAAGGTAATGACGGTATTGCTTGTGGAAATTATAGCCCATAGATGTTTAAACAGGTTTCAAAATATGGTAATTCATTGTCATTTGCACCATTATAAGTTGGCACTTCAATCTTAGAAATTCAACCAGATCATACTTAAAATATCATAGACTGCAACTTATTGTGTTTGTCTTAAAGAATATTAGACCCACAGATAACATGAGGAGTTCATTGCTCAAAAAGTTCTATGATTTGTATGACCCTTTTCAGTTAATATTATTTATGGCATTGGCAGAAGGTAAATCAGAAGTATTATGTGGTCCTATAAGTTTACATACAGAAACAGCTATACATGTTGCTAAAACACTTACTCAGGTAAGGTTGAATTTAACACAATCAAGAGATGTTTTGATGTCATCTTAATATTTGTTTTACCAGCTGCATTCCAGCTATCTGTAATACTTTTCAGTATTAAAATGAACATATGGGTTAGCTACAATTGAATGGAGCCATACCATAGGGAGGTTAAAATAATCTAATAATCAAGACTGTTGTTTAACATGCTCATGTACAGATCAACTACACTAATGAGTATGAGAATGTCTGAAAAGTTGTACAGATAGCTGGAATTTAAGTTCTATCAGTTGTTAACACAAATATATACACTATTGTAATCCTTTAAAGCAATTATCCAGTTCGCCTTTTTTTTGTTGACATATGTTTACTTTGCTTTTCTCTTTCAGGCAAAATTTGAAATAAAGAAAGTCAGTGATAATACAAACATTATTGAATGTGAAGGAATTGGACTGCAAAATCATTTTATTTCATGATTAACTTGTATTGGTGTAACTTGTGTATTGTATTTTTTTTTCATTTTACATATAACTTTCTATCTGCTTGTGCCAACTACTTATTTATCAAGAATTTGGAGAATATTCTCTGAATCCAAGAGATAATTAATTACTTTTCATATAATTCCAATAAAACGTCTGTTAAAAGATTGTATAAGAATGGTTTAAAACCAATCAAAGTGGGGAGACACTTATTAACAGAGAACAAAATTCTTGTGGAAGTCTTGTGGAAACACAAAAGACACGATAGAATTCAACTTAGTCTCCACCTTCAGGAATGCCCCAGCAGTTTTGTTACGTCTTATTATTTGTTCCTATGTCTATTAATTGTTTCAAATCTACAGATTTTAAATCATTGTTGTTTTATGTTTATTTATTTAAAGTGTCTGGGACACAATTAAATGAGATGAAAGTATTAGGATTTTTCCTACTCCCTATGCTTTAATTGCCTTACTAATAAACATATAATTAACTTTATTTTGCAATTAGGGAACTCTGATGAAAATCAATCTGAATAAAATTCACATATTGATTGTTCATTTCCATGAGCTGTTTATTATTTATTATTTATTAAATTATTATGCATCTCGTGTTTCGGGTCATTTGAGATTCAACCACTCAAATTCTCTATTCAATAGAATAATTCAAAGTTCAGTTGTAATATCTGTTGTTAAAACATAGAAATGCTTTGTCTACCAACTTTTAGTAATGTTTTTGGTTGTTTAGCCTAAGATATTCAGTACTCTTGCTACAAAATATCACAGGGCAAGATATTCCAAGATTGGATTGATGGCGTAGGAAAATGTCAGTGGTAGATATAATGAATTCTTTGACAGATACAAAAATGTTGTATTTTACTTGTTTTGTTATAAAGTGCATGTTCATTATCTACAGATTTTATCAGGCGTAATTGAATTACAATAGAAAGTAATAACAGTTTATCTTGTGTATTGACAATTTGAATTAATGGTTAGTTAATTATCCTAAATTAATTTATTTTTATACAACCAGAAATATATGTTAGTCATTAACCTACATGTCACTATTGAGATAGTGATATTCAAAATATGAGAATTATAGTTTTCGTTTGAAAGCTGATCTCATAAAGATCCCTGCTCTACACTTGTTATTATTTTTGATGCTAGGAAATCATGTTAACTGCTTATGAAAATAGATAAATTTAAGGTAGTTTTTTATACGCCCACACATTAATGTCCGTCCGTCCGTTCGTAATTATGTGTTATTGTCCCTGTTCTTGAATTGTTTGTGGACACGATAGAGAGCTGGTTTCTTGATGGATTTTGACGAAACTTGGTGTGAGTGTTTGTAATCACCCAAGGACGGACCCTATTGAAAATCAGACGAATCAAAAAATATTTGCTATGAGTTATTGCCCTTGTTCTTGAATTGTTTGTGGACACGATAGAGAGCTGGTTTCTTGATGGATTTTGACGAAACTTGGTGTGAGTAATCTTTCAAAGGCATATTAGAAGCACAGGTTATAGACAAATAAGACAATTTTATAGATAGATACTTCTAGAATATTTATTATTTCAACGTTTCAATGTAGTTCTCACACCTTCATCAGGAATATAATAATGGTGTGAGTGTTTGTAATCACCCAAGGATGACTCCTATTGAAAATCAGACAAATCGAAAAATATTTACTATGAGTTATTGCCCTTGTTCTTGAATTGTAAGCTGTAAACAAAACCCATGAAATATGAAAATTTCACTCTCAGAAACATTCATTTACTGATAACTCTTGTCAACCTCCCGCACAAATTAGCTGCCATTACAAATGTGGGCGTATTACGATGGCATCGCTATTTTGTTGAACAACTGAGAAACCAAAAAATGCATCTTCATAATGTCTAGATATTACAAGCCTTATCTTATACCTTGACATCAATAGCCACTATTCTTGAATCACGGAATGCATTGATTTGATTGGATGTACAGCAGAGAATATAACCAATCATAGCCATTGGCAGAAAAACTGTAAACATTTTGACTTATTGTTTACAGACTAGTGACAATGCAAACAAATCGCTGCATTTACAAACAATTTACAAGAGGCCACAATAGAAATAGGCATACACACTGATAATACATATATAGATTAACAGATTAAAAATAAGTAGAGATTACTCAGATTACTTCGTGCCGTATTTAAATTAGTGCATTTCACTTAATGAAGGTAAATAGATAATTCTATAATATTGCATGAGCTTCAGTTTTTATACGCCCACATCTCTCTATGTGGACGTATATTGTCGGCACCCCTGTCCGTCAACATTTGCTTGTAAACGCTTTTTGATGGAATCAAATGGAATTCGGTATGTGTATACATATTCATAAAACGAAGATCAAGTTCGAATTTGAGCTATTTTCGACCGTTAGAAGCAGAGTTATTGCCCTTGCCCCAAAATCTTGAATATGCTATTACTCTCTTACTTTTCAACCAATTTTGATGAAACTTAAAATGGATGTTATTGGACCTAAATCGGAAAGTTTGAGAAAGTTTAGTTCACTTCTGATTAAATTTAAGGCTTTTTCAAGATTTAATCCTCTTACGTCTGTTTTGAGGAGTTATCGCCCTTTAACCTCTATACAGTAAGTGCTTCTATCAACATTAATTGCTCGTAAACACTCCGTCCGTCGGTCCGTCAACATTTGCTTGTAAACGCTCTGAAAACTAGATTTTTTGATGGAATCAAATGAAATTCGGTATGTGTATACATATTCATAAAACGAAGATCAAGTTCGAATTTGAGCTATTTTCGACCGTTAGAAGCAGAGTTATTGCCCTTGCCCCAAATCTTGAATATACTATTACTCTCTTAGTTTTCAAACCGATTTTGATGAAACTTAAAATGGATCTTTCGTTTTTACCATCCGCATGCCGTGGTGGGTGTTTTTACAAAAATATTCAATTCTTATATGAATACTAACATACACACTAAGAATGTATAGTTCTCTGATATTTTTGTATGTTAATATGCTAATGGGTCATATTATGTCATATATTTTTAAATAAGCTTTTATCATATTTTACATTTAAGGTAAAATTCCATCAAATATTAATGGTAAAATTCCACCATGATATAAATAATTTATTAATGCTCCACAGAACACATAAAAACATATCTAAAGTATGTTCTGCTCTAATAATTTTTCAAATTTCAGTAGGACACAATCATAGCCAAGTTTATCTATCCAAATATTGCCTATAGGCTTGTCAAAATCAAGATTTACTGCTTATTTCATAATTTTGACACCAATTATCTTTTCCGTCAAACAACTGGATTAACTCAGATATTTAACTTGTCAGAGTAATATTTTGATGGCAAGGACAAAACCCATGCAAACCACCCCTGAGCAATTTGGAAGACTTGATTCATTAATTCATGAAATCAGAACAAAAATTAAGTGGAGATATGACCTACACACCTGGCTATCCGAATCAGATCTATGTAAAAACAAGCCTGACTTAGTTACCAGAATAATTTCTATGTAAAAAAAAAAACAAAAAATAAGCCTGACCTAGTTACCAGAAACATTTCTATGTAAAAAAAAAAGCCTGACCTAGTTACCAGAATCATTTCTATACAAGAAGAATCCTGGCCTAGTTACCAGAATCATTTCTATGCAAGAAAAGACCCTGACATAATTACCAGAATCATTTCTATGCAAGAAAAGACGTTGGCCTAGTTACCAGAATCATTTCTATATGCAAGAAAAGATCCTGGCCCAGTTACCAGAATCATTTCTATGTAAGAAAAGACCCTGGCATAGTTACCAGAATCATTTCTATGTAAGAACGAGTCTGGCCTAAATACCAGAATCATTTTTATGCAAGAACAATCCTGGCCTAGTTACCAGAATCATTTCTATGCAAGTAAAGACCCTGGCCTAGTTACTAGAATCATTTCTATGCAATAAAAAACAAAAGGCATAGTTACCAGAATCATTTCTATGCAAGAAAAGGCCCTGGCTTAGTTATCAGAATCATTTCTATGCAAGAAAAGACCCTGGCATAGTTACTAGAATCATTTCTGTGCAAGAAAAGACTCTGACCTAGTTACCAGAATTATTTCTATGCAAGAAAAGACCCTGGCATAGTTACCAGAATTATTTCTATATATGAACGAGTCTAACCTAAATACCAGAATCATTTCTGTGTAAGAACAATAGCTTTGGCTAATTATATACCAGAATCATTTCTATGTAAGAACAAGGCTGGGCTAGTTAAAAGAATCATTTTCTATGAAAAAAACAGATAAGATAAAATAACAATCCTGGGTTAGTGCAGAATCATTTCTACTTAAGAGCAAGGCTGGGAAAGTCCCTGAATCATTTCTGTGTAAGTTGACAAGTCTGGGCAACTTACCAGAATCAATTCTATGTAAGATCAAGTCTGTCTTAGTTACCCGAATCAATTCTTTGTAAGAATAAGTCTGCCTTAGTTACCCGAATCAATTCTATGTAAAAACAAGTCTGTCTTAGTTACCTGAATCAATTCTTTCTAAGAACAAGTCTGTCTTAGTTTCTGTGTAAGTTAACAAGTTTTGGCTACTTACCAATCAATTCTATGTAAAAACAAGTCTGTCTTAGTTACCCGAATCAATTCTTTGTAAGAATAAGACTGTCTTAGTTACCTGAATCAATTCTATGCAAAGTCTGTCTTCATTTTATAGGCCCACATGAAATGCCCTAAAGAGTTCAAAAGAAGTGTATGACAGAAGGTTGAATATTTCATACTGGTGATTGTTACTCTACTGCTAAATATCTTTATTCAAAATCCAAGCTGCCAGTGGGCTTATATATTACCTTGCCAGGCAAGCTATCTTAAACAACGTAGGAACAATTATAACCTGGCCTTGTACCAGAATCATTTCTATGTAAGAAAGAGCCTGGCCAAGTTACCAGCATAATTTTTATTGTAAGAATGAGTCAGTCCTAATTACCAGGATTATTTCGGTGTAAGAAACTAGAAAGAAAGTGGCCTAGTTACCAGAATCATTTCTGTGAAAGAAAAAACGTATGCCTAAATTCTAAATACATGCCCGGTGTAGACCTACGTACACTTATGTTATCTTGTTACGTAATTCATTGTCAGAAATTTCTATCAAACCAAGGCTATCTCAAGCGTACCAAGAACTGATGACCAGAATTTGTGTTCGGAATATCAGAATTCGTTCGGAGTAATATTGTATTGATCAAACGACACACTTAAGTCAAGTGGATAGAAGCCATTTTCATATCTGTTCTGTTCTGTGCAACATAACCTATTTAACATACAATTACATCTAGCTTGCAGTCAAATAAATATCTCACTGTGCACAAATAAGGTTAAGGGAAATTAAGTTGTTGCGTCTTTCAATATAGACTGCATAATGTAGGATTGCCCAAAGGATATTTCATCATCATTCTCACGTGTTTCTCATTGTTTATTTTTCATGACGTTTACTGGGAACCTGCCAATCAAATGACGACATACTGACCTATATTCTCGAGGTCAATATAGGTGAAGGTCGTAGTTTAATTCTACTGACCAATCAGAATGTTTGTAACGGAAACGCGTGATGTAAACAGGCGTTTGATTGGTTAAATTCTCTACCATTTATCAGGTATTGAATATCAATGAATAGTAGTACATTAGAAAGCAATCGGGATTCTTCCTTGAAGATTTGAAGGTTTTGAAGGTTACTAAAAGGTACGTATGGAAATGTGAAATAGCTTTTTACATCGCATAAGTTTGAGTTTGACACTCTCACTATTTAGTTAAAGATCTTGTTGAAACTGTTCTAACATTGGCATTGTCTATTTGCCATGATTTGTTGTTGATGATGAAATGTCTAGAGTCAGTTCAACTGACGTATGTCATTCGGTTATTCAGTTCATCCAGGCAGGGGCGGCGATCCGTTTTGCAAACGGGGGTAGGGGGTGTTGGGGGGACACATCTTTCTTGGCTCCAAGTCTAAAAGGCAGGCCCGTAGCCAGCCAAGTCCTTTTGGACTGGGGGGTCAAACGCCCAATCAAGGGGGGCAGTTTAGGTATCTCCCCCCCCCCCACTCCCCCCTTCCAGAAAACTTTGTGAATTGTTAAGTATTACAGTAGTGCTCTCAACATATTGATTGATATCTTTATTGCTGCCCATTGAAGGCCTGGAAACACAATTTTCTGAAGTCTGGGGACCCCATCTAGGAATTTTCTAGAAAATTAGACTCCCTGAAACATGATTTCCTTGCAGATTTAAGGTTTATTTGTGTAGATATGCCTACTGTGGGTCCACCACAAGAAAATTTTGAAAATTTGCCACCCGGAAACGTGATTTCCTGACATTTCCTGGCAAATCTATGGCTCAGTATTATTTGTATAGTGTCTGTGGTATGCTGCTGAGAAAATTGTATGAATTAGATATATATGATGTCCCCCCCAGTCAGAAACTAGAGGGGGGGACATGTCAAATTTGGCTTGTAGTCACGATATAATCTACAGTTGTTATCTTGATGACACTTTGTATGCTTATTGATGAGATCTCGGTCAAGTTTGAATTTGGTCATAATGGGATGAATGGTTTTGGAGTTATTGCCCTTAACTTAGTATTATACACTTCAAATTAGTCATGAGAATTTGTTATCATTTCTGACAGCTGGTAGTGGGCATATGTTACCTTGCCAGGCAAGCTATCTTTAATTTAAAATAAACACATTTGATGAACCCTCCTACAAATTACAACTAAATGTGCTAAAATACTGGTTGGTAGACCATATAGTGAATATTAGTTCATGATCATGGGGATATCTCCTTTGTGAGCCTGGTTTCAGGAGGCTTTAAAAAACAGAACTATTTTAAAAGCCAAGCCCATACCTTAACATAATTCTCTGAAAACTGTACAACTGGTTTTAATACTTAATGGTTATGCCCTAATAATCCTAATTATTCCAAATGAATAGACCCCAATAAATACTAACAAGTCAGGTCAGGTCAGGTAGTCCTATAGTTATGTCAATGTGTAGACAGTTTAGTCAGGTAGTCCTATAGTGATGTCAATGTGTAGACAGTTTAGTCAGGTAGTCCTATAGTTATGTCAATGTGTAGACAGTTTGATCAGGTAGTCCTATAGTTATGTCAATGTGTAGACAGTTTAGCCAGGTAGTCCTATAGTTATGTCAATGTGTAGACAGTTTAGTCAGGTAGTCGTATAGTTATGTCAATGTGTAGACAGTTTAGTCAGGTAGTCCTATAGTTATGTCAATGTGTAGACAGTTTAGTCAGGTAGTCCTATAGTTATGTCAATGTGTAGACAGTTTGATCAGGTAGTCCTATAGTTATGTCAATGTGTAGACAGTTTAGTCAGGTAGTCCTATAGTTATGTCAATGTGTAGACAGTTTAGCCAGTTTGATTTCCAATATAACTGTCAGTTGTTCGTAAAAAAAGGATGAAAATCTTGTTAAAAAATGACTGTTACAGACTTCCCCAGCAAATTTTATCTAGGCAACATCTTCACACATTAGTGTGTAATAAAAACAATGTAGATATGTCGCAGTTCATTTTGACATAGATAAGAGTACAAATAAATAAATTAGTACATGTGAACTACTATTGATTTTTTTCCTGCAGTATCTCAATGATGAGGCAGATTCAACTATTTTAAATATTGAAATAAGCTTTCTAATGAATAAGGCAGATCAAGGCAACCATGTGATTATGAAGCCAGTTGTTACATATCTAACACCCCCATAATTATGTGTTACCCTTGTATACACCCACTCAATGTGTTGACCTTGTATACTTCCATATTATGATGTGCTGATTAATTGTATACACTCATATTACCTTGTATCATGCACACATTGTGTTGACCATGTTTACACCCATGTAATGTTTTGGCCTTGTTTACTACCCTGTAATTTGTTATACTTCCAGGATCTGTATGAGTATTTGTTATTTATAATGATGATTTAATAGCAGGATGTCCTGTTACTCTTTATCTTATCAACAAACAAATTTATTACTAGAGATCATAGTGTAGCAATGAAAATCAAAACAAACACAGATGACCCTCAGTCCTATACATATTTTAGGGTAGTCAAATTTTTGGAAGCACACATTCTATTGTGCTTCAACTTAAAAATGTAATCTCATTGTTTCGGTTAACTGATAGGCCATAACTAAAATGTTCCTGTTCAATTTAATTAATGTAGAAATCAGCATTTTTATCTGTAATAAGCCTGTGTATAGGCATTATATCATTCATTATTTAAGTTTATAAAGGTTACTGGTTTTTATGTAAGATAACATGTAATTTTGATTTACTAAGGGTATACAAGCAACAACTTTAACCTTTGTTACAGCAAGATAAAATAAACCCCTTTTGTGATTTCTTTGTGGTGTATGGAATATAATTTAGTGATTAAAAAATGTGACTATTGCAATATTTTATTTTGACCAAGACTAATTGTCCAGTATCAGTTATGAAATGAATATTGACCTGCTACTTAATATCGGGACTTTAAAGTTATTTGACTGGGTAAACCTCAGCAAATATAATGATGAATAGACTTATGTGTTTATTTTTTCAGATTTTAATTAAAGAAGTTCACCATGTTAAGTAAAAGTCTTGGAAGATGTTTATTCTCTGTGTTGAGGAAAGATGGTGGAGGGAGCTTGAAGAACACACTTTCAGTATCTTCTATACACAACAGATCATTGGGTCCGGATTGTATCAGTGAAGATATGAATAATCCTCGAATACTCATTACTGGTAAGTGAGTTTTATGTAAGAAAATGGCTCTTAGATTAATCTGTTAATCATTTGCATTTAATCATCAAACTTTTGTTATGTATTATATTATGATGTATTATAAAAGAAATTTTTATTACACAATGCTATGAACTGGCCTAGTATGTTAGCAACTACAGATAAAAAAAGAATTCCCTCAGAAATGATTAAAATAGATAAATCCTGAAATTTACAAAATAAAAATCAGAAAACATGTAATGTTTTTGATTCATTTCTGCACTATATTTATATCTTTCAACATTTCAGGAGCGCTTGGCCAACTTGGATCTGGTTTAGCAAAAATGCTGAGAGCAAAGTTTGGACCAGAAAATGTTATCATGTCTGATATTAATAAGGCACCTAAACATATTCTTGAAGCTGGTAAGAATTTTTTTTTTCCATGTTTGCTTCTCTATTGTAAAAAGTATGAATTCCCTAGCAGAAAAAACTGCAAAAAAGAAATAAATTTTGTCATACTAGATACCTGAACCAAAAATCAGACAGTGGCAGTGCTAGTGGGGGTATGTAGAAATTGGTTTGCACTCTTATGTACCCCCACTTTATTTTTAACAAATTAAAACATATAATTTTTATACGTTTTTGCCCCAAAATATTTGTCAGAATGCACCAAATCAATTCTTGGGAGAACCCTCTAAGACATTCTATGTGAAGCTTGCAACTATGACGCCTACACAGTGTTGCTGCATTTTTAATTCAGCCTTGACAGTTATCCCCCCATTAAATCAATCTATTTGTACCCCAAGTCTCAGATACATTCATTGATGCAACGTTGCAAAATTTCTTGCATTATGTAATTATTATAACTTGATAAGAATGCTGTAGTGGTGAGAGATTCTGATGTTTTAATATCTTTGGATGATTGTTCTTGTTTCAAAGGTCATCAAAAGGCCACATAGTTGCACTTTTATCATGTTTTTATTTGTAGGTCCTTTTGTATATGCTGATATAATGGATCTTAAAGGTTTAAAAGAGATAGTAGTCAATTATGAAGTAGATTGGTTGATCCATTTTGGAGCGTTATTAAGTGCGATCGGAGAAGCTAATGTACCACTTGCTATGAAGATTAATATTGAAGGTGTTCACAATATATTAGAAGTTGCTAAACAGTACAATTTAAAATGTTTAATACCCAGCACAATAGGTGAGTAGAGTTATTGTTAAAACATATATGTTAAAAACAGTTTTAAAGTTTTGAAATTTGTCTAGAGATAGTATGCCATCATCACTTGCCATTTTTAATGAGCAAAGTCTGTTTAAAGATATTAGACCAGAAAGACTGAAGCTTGCTCATTGATTAATTTGTAATTGTAGGTGCTTTTGGACCTGATTCTCCCAGAGCTCTGACACCAGATTTAACAATACAGCGTCCAAGAACAATTTATGGTGTTTCTAAAGTACATGCTGAACTAATGGGAGAGGTATGGAATATCTTTTCCTCTTGATGGTTGTCAAAGCATGCTTTATACAGAATAGATTTTGATATAGTTTTAAATTCAATAGAATCAGATGTAAACTGAACAGAACAGAACTGGAGAGTATGACACAATATTTATTAAACATGTTCATCAATGTTATTTTTCAACACATTTTTAGATGCCTTGAATACAAGGGTAACAAGGGTCTTGTTCTGTCATATAACACTTTAGTAAGTTTAAAGATTACCTACTATAGACTGTATGTATAATTTTGGAGTTTATTATTATTTCAGTATTATCATCATAAGTATGGTCTAGATTTCCGTAGTTTACGCTATCCTGGAGTTATATCAGCTGATACTAAACCTGGTGGAGGAACTACAGGTAGGGTCAAAGATCTCTACATTACACATGTACAGAACAATAGAAACTTCAGAGGAATTTAACTAAGGAAATAAGCTGTATGACTATATTAGAAGATTTCTTTTTGTACAAACAGATTTGACTGTGTCATGTAGCTAAGTTAGTAAGACGTGCTCTGGAACCTCCAGGAATCAGCATTTTTCAATCCTCATCCAGGTCAGAGAAGCAAATCCTCTTGTGGTTCAGAAAGAGCCCCCAATTGCTTCGGCTGTGCATGTTAAAGTCCTTCAACTTTTGGGTCCATTCAGGTGCCTAAAAAAATGATGCAAAAGTTCATTTCATTTCAAACATTGACTCTTCTTCAAGACTAATAGAACTATTGTTAAAATGTTATTTTTCAGATTATGCTGTTGAAATATTCCATGATGCGATAAAAACAGGAAAGTTTCAGTGCTTTTTAAAACCAGACACCAGATTGCCTATGATGTATGTAAAGGATACATTAAGATCCACTGTGAAGTTTCTACGTGTGCCTAGTGATCAATTAACTATGAGAACATATAATGTGACAGCTATGAGCTTTACACCAGCTGAGTTGGCTGAAGAAGTGAGAAAATTTATGCCTAATTTGGAAGTGACATACAGAATTGATCCTGTGAAACAAGCTATAGGTAAGTCAGTTCATCTTGGTAACCCTTAGTAACCAATTACATCTTCCTTTAACAGGGTTCAATCCTGGCATAAGTTTTTCAACCTAGTTTTTTGCTGTCAATGATGCAGGTCACACGGGCTGACATGTTGCTATATATGATATTTTATGTTCTGAAAGAAAATACTACAATTGTAAAAAAGATGTTAGATTCTTCAAACTAAATTATTAGAAGATGATGATTGAATCTTGTTAGGCATGAAATAATTCCAATATCAAAGCTGAAGTAAGTAACTCTAACTATAGCTTGTTTTATCTTTCAGCTGACCAGTGGCCTCAAGTTTTGGATGATAGCAGAGCTAGAGCTGATTGGGGTTGGCAGCATCAATATGATTTATCTACAATGTGTCAAGCTATGTTTGCTAAACTGAAGCCTGGTCACAATTTCAGTGGAGATAAAAAAGTTGGTGTCATGTGAACAATTTCCTAATTGAGATGATTCTAAAACTTTCTGCTGGCTAAGTAGTAAAATAAAAATGTGTTTTATGACAGGCTACGTTATATCTGTAATTGAACAAGACTTTTCTTTATACACCATTGTTATCAGCTTTAAGTAGAGCAAAATCTGAAATCAAAATGTGTCGGTATTAACCTTTTTTGGAAAACTGCTCACAATTTGCCAATATTAGTGCAAGTATCATCAACTTTCCCCATATGACATATGTTTCAGAATTTATTTTGAACTGCAGAAGACTTCATTGATTTTAAATCAATCAAGGTAAATCATAAATACATTCTTTTGCAGTTCTGAAATTTTAGTTTGAATTGTAAGTTTCTGCTTCTATGAGACCAAGATCCAAAGTGCTTTTTTTTGAAGAAATATAAGTCATATTCATATAAGTGTATTCTTGTTCCATTTTGTATATTTACATATGTAAAAAATTTTGAAATATTTTTAATAGCATTTTCATAATAATATAATTCTTTAAAATATAATGTACATATATGTCACATTGTTTTAAAGCTTTTTTTAAATCACAGTTTTTTGTTTTAATTCATTGTAAATATTTTGTAAATTATTTCATTTCATGTATGTCCAATTATCTTGTAAGTGTACTGTAATTCACTGAAATTTACAAAAAGAAAAAGGAATAATCAGATAGAAAGCTCCAGTAATGGGAGACTACTCTATATTTCATAATTATTTTATTTTTATTGAAAAAGCTTCAAGAATAGAATAATGAACTTTCCAAATTTACACATCATTGAAAATAAAAAATGATCACGTGATTTGAATTCAATAGGCCCGTCAATGTCTGTACAGATGGATGGGTGATGCCTTGTACTCTTGTACTTTTATGAAGAATCTCAAAAAAACTTATTTATTTCCTTTTGTTTTTGTTGTTCATAGTTTTCTTTATATTTTTTCTTTGCTATGTTGTGTTCTTTTTATATGATCCTGAAAGTTATATGATAAAGAGATGAAAATGACTACTTTTGGTTATATTTTCACTATTTTCTATTAATAGTTTATTATTTATTTTTGAGTTATGTCTTGTTTATTATCAGTTACATGGTTGAATATTCCTGAAAGTGTACGAAACCTTTGACTAACAAAACTATGCTTAATTTATATATTTTATAATCTCATTTAGTTTTTATTCAATTAAATGTTTAAAACCCAGAAATCAGTTAATTATTTTCTATATGAAATGCCGACTGTTTGAATTTTACTGCGAAATTTCTAAAGAAGATAGTCATAGTGTGTTTCTGTCCGTCACAAAATTACTCGTCTTGGATTCAGGGGTTTATTATTGGCAAAGGTCGGGATAGATTTTGTCTGTTTCACTTTTGCCGCGGTTGGAGAGTTTGAAATGGGAAGTTCATCTTGATTTTGGATTGGACAATGCATGTACACTCCATGTGTTTGATATTGCCAGTATTCATTCACCAAAAAAGGAATAAAGAACAATAGCTTTTTGTAGAAAATTGTTTTATCATCTTATAACTTCTCTTATAAATTTACAGACAGGGTTTTGTTTGAAACTAACTATTATCGTGTTTATTAGTTTCTGATGATAAGTTTTATTCATGGAGGATTTATTACTTAACAATCCATATGTTTCAAGGGAACAGTCGTAAATATAGGCTATATGCCTTACTGCCTGATTAATTTAATATTTTATTCTATATTTTATTCTAAAGAAGTATATGGTTGATTGGAAATGGAGATGTTCTCAAAAATGATCCCAGAAAAGGAAAATGTCCACCTATCATATCTATACAAATCACCTCTATACTTGTATACTGAGGAGGGGACCGGTGTGAAACATCTTTTTTTCTTTATTAACTTACTTTCGTTGTATATTTAAACTGTTTATGAAGAGGATGCCCTGTAGTAGAAAATAAATAAGCAAGAAACCCCCTTGACCTTAGGTGTGTCCTCAGTAAGAATAACCTTTTAACTGTTCAGGACAATGATTGAAGAATATTATCTATTTTCATCCAAACAACACAACAATTATACTGATAAATAGAGATATAATGTATATAAACACAAACTGGTCAGTTACTGTAGTTGACGCCGTATTGGTGGGTGTAATCTATCGTTCCAGTCCTCATGTGCCCCTTTCTGCAAAAATGACGTCATACATGCCCCATTCCCCCGCCCTTTCATACTTAGTAGCCCTACACTTTAAGCACACAAGCTAGATAACGTAACTTTTCATTGTCCACTTAACTGGTATTTAGAAGAATACAAAAGAAAATAATATACAACCCAAATTTATGTTAACAATTTACAAGTTAACATCAATGTATTTGTAAAGGATTTGTAGTAGGAACTTTGTATTTTAAACATGAATTATGTATTGCTTATCGACTGTCTCTGAAAAAAAGCATACCAAACAGCTTCAGGCATTGTTTTTTTTCAAAAACGGATTTATTCTTATGGGCAGTAACGGCATATTGCTCCCACCAGGAAGGTGATTCGTTAATGATTTAGGTGACAATAGGTAAAATATCTTGACTATAATACAATAGATACTGGACATGGTGTCAGTTTACCACGTGTGTTGACATAATGTTTGACAGCTTTTAAAATCTGTCATATTTCATATTATCTCTAGCGCGATTTGTTATTTTGATCTCTGATCTTGCAGAAAGATTCAGGAAAAATGATAGAATTAACGAGGTAAGACGATTTTTATTTTCATTTCTTAGTGACTAGGCATAGATGATGGAAATCCGTCCCTAAATCAACAGCTGTCAAAATAAAACCCAAAATATAACAATGTAAAGAATCGAAGTCCCTTTGGACATCACACAAAATTTATGAACCTCATATTCTCCAGAGATAGCTTCATGGTTGTATACTATTGTTGATGTTTCCTCTAAATTCCCCATATCATCTTTTATCTGANATCTGAATTACCAAATAAATCATTGAAATACAGTTATAAAGGGCACTAAAATAACTAAATAACTAA